GAAGGGAAGGGAAGGGAAGGGAAGGGAAGGGAAGGGAAGGGAAGGGAAGGGAAGGGAAACTTTCCAACAGATAGTCTCAGGCTCCTGTAGAAATACAGCCTTGTAGATTTCCCAGGTTTAAATGTTTTTTCCCAAATTTATCTAATTTGAAGAACGACTGAATTTAGCAGCATTAGGGTTCCTCTGCAGAAGAGAGATGTGGACATACTGGAACAAATCTAGACTATGAAGACAGTTAAGATATGGGAGTATCTCTCATAGAAGGGGAGGCTAACAGGGCTGGGACTTGTTCAGCCTTAAGTTGAGAAGACTTGAGAGGATCATCTGATCGATGCATATAAATACCTGCAAAAACACACAACCACAGGTGTATCATAGTATCAGATGATACTGAGTGATGGAACAAAAGGCAGTGGGCCTGAAATAGAATTTCTATCTAAGCATAAGTTAAAATCTTTTTTACTACAAACATGATTGAGCACTGGAACAGGTTACCCACAGTAGCTATGGAGCCTCCATCCTTGTAGATAATTAAAACTGGGCTGGGCACAACCTGCTCTAGTTAACCTTCCTCTGACCAGGATGTTGCAGTAAGAGGTCTCCAGAAGTACTTTCTGGCATTGACCATCCTGTTACTCTGGTTTTGTGACCTTGCTCCAAGGCCATGAGGAACTCCCAGGCCCAAAGTGCCTTGTTCAGAGCATGAGGTGGACAGGGAGAGAGTGCTGCCACAGAAGCCTTAAAATGCTGCCTTGTAGCTGACTGGGAAAAGTGAAAAAACACTTCTCTGAAATGGGTCTGAAGCAGCTGGCTATAGTTCAAAATGCCATTGATGTCCTAGGTTACTTCCTGTATAAGTTACTTGGCTGCATAGATGCGTGACTTTTGGTCAGAAACGTCATCAGCCATGTGAGGTAGTGAGCCCCCTTTGGCTTTCTCAGGGCACTCTGCCTTTTGTCACATGCTAGCTGTGCTTCTGCCTAAGGGACAGGTCTGTCTCATCTGTTACCTCAAGGACTTTCGCCAGTAAGCAGTAGAGGTGGAATTCTGAGTAGAGAGATGAGGTCTTGCTGCAGTAGGCTAAGGAGAGCAAGGTGGGGTGACTGGGTCACACTTGAAAATCTGGGACTCTGCTATTGTTTTGCCTATTGTCTATATTAGGCAAAAGGATTAGAGGGCTGAAGAAAGTTCCCTTCAATACAGAGCCCTTTTCAGTGATGAGGAGCTTTGCCCAGAGATGTGCTGTATAAAAGTGCAAGTTCAACTTTAGCGCAGCATCAAGAGTGCTCAGGCTCCAAGTGGCAGAAATATGTCCCGCATGGTTTGTGTTGCATGTCTGATCTGGCTTTCTCTCTGTGTGCTGTGATATTCCTGACTCTAGCTGTGGTGTTTCTGCAGCACTCAGTGATGGCTGAGAGCTCAGCTGTGACTGCAGCAGTGCCAGGGAGAGCAGCACCAACCAAGCTAGAGGAGCTCCTGGAGATCACTGCTCAGAGCCTGGTGCACACTGAGGTGTCAGAGCACTACAAGGTTATTCGGGAGCTGGGCAGGGGCAAGTACGGCCATGTGATGCTAGTGACCCACAGGCAGAGAGGTAAGAAACTGACATTGCCCTGTGAACTACTGTGCCTTGTCTCCTCTCCACTCACCAGGGCACAGGGTGGGCTGCTGGCACACTGGGGCCAGGCACCAGGCATGGGAGGCAGGGAGTATTCCCAGGGAGACCAGTACAATGGGAACCTCCAAAGCCAGGAACCATCCCATTACATCCAGCCAGAAACTAGGTGATCCCAGGGGGCAGCCCAGAATACCAGCAAGATTATAGTGATAAGACAGGTCCAAGGTCAAGCAAGGAAGTTAATCCACAAGTCAGGATCCAGATAGTTCATGGAGATGCACCAGCATGCATGTGATATAGATGGAAATAGGAGTCCTACCACAGGGCTCAGTCAAGGAGCCCCAAGCCTGAGCTGCAGTGGTGCCCTAAGGCCCATGGACACAGGGTGTGAATGAAGGTCCTGGGTTGGCCATATGAGTGCCCTGGCACTGTTCTTTCCTGGTAGTCCTAGCTCAGACTGATGTACCCATGTATCCTGAATGTCCTTACTCTGCCCAGGGCTCCTGTGCATGCCCAGGGCCCAAAAATCACACCAGTGGCAGTGCCAGTGTTTCTAGATCTGGTGTCTACAGGTGTCCTGTTTGCATTCACACAAACTTTGAAATAGACATCTCTCTGTGGCTGTGACTGCCTAGATCTGTGGCTGATCTCTCTTATCTTGGTGAGATTTTCAGAGGAGTCAAACCCACTCTTCCTATCCCCAGGGACTCCTATGGCTCTCAAGCTGCTCCCCAAAGCCAGTACCAAGTTGCACACTTTTCTGTATGAGTATTGTGTAGCACTGTCCCTCGCCACCCACCCTGCCATCATTGGCATGTTTGGAATTGCCATTGAGTCCAGCCAGTACTATGGTTTCCTCTATGAACCAGCGCTCCACAAAGACCTCATCTCTATCATCAAACCCCGCGTGAGTGTTGCTACAAGGCCATGGGGACTGGGCTATAGCATTTGGCCCCTCTGAAGGATGTCTGGGTCAGAGGGTGGGAGATGAAGGCAATGGGCTGTGGGTCTATCTGGAGTCTGCAGCACTAAAGCAGCCTTGGGCTTGCAAGGTGAGAAATGCAAAGGTCTTTACCAATGCTGAGCATTGTTGAGACCCTATAGCTAGCAGGGCTGCTGAGGTGCCCTGTGTGTGCCATCCCACCTGTCTCTCTCCCTGCACAGGATGGGATTCCTGAGCTGGCCACAAAGCAGTGTGCCAAGCAGCTCGTGAGTGCGCTGGAGTTCATCCACAGCCGGGGGCTGGTGTACCGTGATATCAAGCCTGAGAACGTGCTGCTTTTCGATCCTGACTGCCGGCTCGTCAAACTCACTGACTTTGGGCTCACGCGGCCCAAGGGTACCAAGCTCAAGCTGGTGGCTGGGGTAATCCCCTACACTGCACCCGAGCTGAGCAACACTGCTGATGCTCAGGGAGTGCCCATTGACAGCAGCATGGATGCCTGGGCCTTCGGGGTGCTGCTTTTCTGCCTGCTGACTGGCTACTTCCCCTGGGAGCAGAGCCTGCCAGAGGACCCTTTCTTTGAGGATTTCATGCAGTGGCAGGAGACAGGCCTGGAAAAGGATGTGCCCCGGCACTGGAAGCGCCTGACAGCCGAGGCTGCTGGGATGCTGCGAAGCCTGCTGGCTCTAGATCCCACCAAACGTAGCCCCGTCAGTGGGGTGTTGTGCTATGTTGACTGCCCTTGGAGGCTGGAGGGTGGGCACAGTGAGGAGGCTGCCGTGAAGTCCTAGATCCTGCTCCCCATGGCAGGAGGGAAGGAGGGTCTCAGCCTGCAAAGGGCTTCAGGGTTTGGGCACCATGGTGGCCTGGGAATGAGAGGCCATGGTGACTCAGAGAGCAACTTCTCTGCAGCACTGTCCCTGCTGCCACAGTCAAGCTTCTTCCCCAGATGATTGTCCTCACCCCATGACTCAGTGCTGCCCAGTGCCACCTCCTTGTGGCCTGAAAACATCTTTCTCATGGAAATGACTGTGTGTGAAGCATCTATTTGTTTCATAGCCACAGGAACTCCAGGGAGTTATTTAGGCTGCAGCACCTGCCATGTCTCAAAATATGTACTTTTGTGTTTCTGTATGTGGCTCATTTTCCCTCATAATAAATGATTGTTGGGACACGCTGTTGGAAAGCAGGGAGCAGGTTAGAACTTGGAGCTATCTCAGGACAAGCTGTCCAAGGCAGGGGCCGTCTCTGAATTCTGCCTGTGCCCGCACCAGGACCCATGGAGGGTGGCTTCAGGCTGGTGGGGTGGAGGGGCTGGGGAGTCCCCAGCATGTGGCCATGGATGATGGCTGAGGAATGGTTATGGTGTTGAGGTTATCTCATGCCTGCCCAAACACACCTCTTCCCTTGTACTGCCTTCAGGTCCTAAGACAATGTCCTTCATGATCTTTTAGATGCCTCATTACCCCTCTAGAAGACCTTCCTTCTCTCCTATCACTTCTTTAACCCTTCCCTAGACACAGACCTCTCCTAATGCCCCAGTATCCTCCTAGGTGCACATTTTAATCCTGAAAAGGAGTAGCAAAGAGGGAATTAAGGGTTAGTAGCCCTTTTTATTTTTCTACATCTTTTCAATACCCAGGATTTTGCTGTTGGTAATAATCCCTTCCTGCACTTAACCCAGTCTTTTGCTGGAAACATCCACAGCTCATTTTCCACTCTTTATAACTTCTAAAAATGCAGTGTCCCAGTACTATACTTTCTAGTATTTCAGCTTTTTTTTTCATCTCCAGTCCTTTCTTGCACATGCTCTTTCTTCTACGCTTCCCCAACCTCCATGTCTTTTTTTTCCCAGCTTCTTCTCACCCACTGGCATTTTAGTATTAACTTCTCTACTAGCACTATCCGTCAGCTGGTGAACACCTTTTGCTTGCTTCTCTCTCAGCAACGTCACCTCTGTATTATTATTTTGTGCTGTTCCTGCTCCCTGCATCACTTATTCCTTGAATTTTCCTTCCAACTCCCCAACCTACCTTAAACAAGCAAACCAAACCTACCAAACAGCGTTATGCTCGCACTGTCCAAGGTACAATTTTCTTCTGCTTACTTCCATCTCAGAATCTTTCATTACTTGAAATCATAATAAATTCTGCTCAACTCCAGCCTGCTGAAATTTGGCTTTGAATGTTAAGGTGCCAACACAGCTCCTGGATTTCAAGTGGAGAAGCTTTAAGACCAGTGGATCTAAAGACCAGGTAGCTGGTAACTATCCAGTGAAAAATAATGGAAAACTTTTTACAGATGCTTGCTAATGGACAATTACAGAACAGGAATGTGGCTTTTTGGAATGAGACATTCAATTTTATAATAAAGTCATGTTTGATACAGTAAATTCATACACTCATTCAGAGTTTTTGTAAGGCATGACCTATTGATAAATAGAGAATTATCATATGTTGTATTGATTCAGAAGATGCACTATGCAAAGTTTATAAAATATAGATTAAGTGGATTGAGAACTGTCAATAGGCAGAAGAAATAATTGTCTGATTGGAATGCTCTATTTTCTTTGGTTTCTGCAGTTGTTACATGAAAACTGGTTAACATTTCAACTGTGATTTTAAGGAAAATACAAAGCAGATAAAACTCTACAGATGACAAGCATGAATAGGGTAGTAGCAAGAAGAGCAAGCTACTCAAAGAGATCTGAATAACTTGCTAAGTATATTCAAACCAAATGCATTTTCTTACAGGCAGGAGAAATATAATTAAGTAGGAACATACTAAATAAAAGGAACAGGAATAAAAGTAATTCTTACAAAAGGACCCTAAAAACTTGCCAAGTCACAGAGGATACATAAGATTACATGAGTTCTTACTGTGTTGTCCTACAAAAAAAAAAAAAAGGGCTCCTTGCATGGCCAAAGAGGGGCAGAAAGTAGGGATGGTGAAATCTTCAGCAAAAACAGCTAATAAGATTCCTGTTGGCCTAAATATGAGTGTGGGAAGTAGCAGTGAGTGATCAGTATTTGATACCACATGGGGAAATCCTGGGTATGGCACCACAATTACATGCAAGCTGGAAAACTAGAGACAGCTCAGAAAAAAACTGGGTCCCATGGTGGGACTGTGGTTTAAAGATGTAAGAAAACCTTAAAGAAACTAACAAATTAAACTATCTAAAATAGGAAGACTGGATGGTGAATTGATTATGGTATAGAATATTGAGAAGAAAATACCACCTACTAATGACCTATTTTAATTTGAGAACGATCCAAGAGAAGCCATGGGAGGTTAAAACCAAACAGTCCACAAGAACCAAGTATGGTTCTTGCCTACTGTAAGAAACCCTCATATGTGCAGAGGCTGAGAAAATGGAGAATGTCTGGAGAGGAGAAGAGTTAGGGTGGATCTTGTACTTCTTTATACTTCTAGGCACAAGTATAAATTGTGAGAGGGAAGGCATTTAAACAAACAAACAAAAAAAGGGCTTTATGGTGATAGTGGCCAAAGTTAGTAACATTGGTTGTGTGTTTATGGCTTTGAAGACATTCAAAAGATGATTGGACAAGGCTCTGGTAAACTTTCTCTAGCTGTCTCTCTTTTGAGAAGGAGATTGGTATAGGCAGTCTTCATATGTCCTGTCTGGTATCAGCCATGCTGCGATTCCACAACATTTTTTATTTTAAAGACACTCTGTGTTGCAGCTAAGGATGTTTAGGGCTCCCAAATATATCTCCTTTGGAATTGCTCAGCATGGTCTTAGCAAAACTGTATGCCAAATACAAAACCAGTTTGACAATCAAAGGTTAGGAAGATTTTAGGATTTACTCCAAATTAAAGTAAACCTGAACTGATGGAACACTGACATCTTTGGGGAAACAAATCAAGCTGCCCCATGCTTTCAGGACCCAGGCTGGTTTTTCACAGGAGCCAAATATGCCAATGAGGATCAGGGATTCAGTGCTACCTGACAAAGGTAATGTGACAGGATAATGTGGCAATTACCAGGATTGTTTCTCCGTCTCCTTTGTCAAAGAGCCTTGAGACTTCGGTAGAAGAGGTTTCTGCTGCCAGAAAGTTGTGTGATGCCTAGTGAAGTGATGAAATCAGCACTGTGACTGCATCATGCATGTGCTGGTGATGGGGACAAGGCTGCAATGAAGCAAGTGTGAATTTGAGCATAGTGACAAAAAGCCCTGCCCTGAACCAAGTCCTCAACTCAGGATTCTTTTCTCAGTAGCTTGTTCATAATTGCAGCTGGATTGCTTAAATCAATGAATAAACAGACCTAACAAAGACTATCCCCAGTGGGTCTGGAAAAGGATCTGGTTGCCCCCAGTGCCTCCTGAGCAGCTGAATGGAATAGAGCTGTGCAAACACACCAGCCCTTTGCAGCTGCAGCCTCTGGCTGCAGGAGGGCTGGCCAGGTGCCCTGCACTGTAAAAGGCAACATTTCAGCTAATGTAGGCAAAGGGGATGGGGTGGATCTGGTGTCATCCCCAAAAGGGCATCAGGTGGATCTGAAGAGGAGGGGAAAATGCAGTGCTTCACTCTTCTCTGGGATGGAATGAAGAGAGAAATCAGGCAATTACCAAGCTCACCACACTGTGAGTTCTGGCTACAGGTCCAAGAAGTTTGAATCCAGCCCGTGGTGCCCAGATGCCTGCAGCACACTGTGTGCACGGGCTGGGAGCATGGATCCCATGGCTTTTGGTGGGATGTATGTTCTGTGTTTCTGGATCTCCTTGTGCACCTCACTATGCATTCTGTTTCCACTTCTGCACTATACAGTCCATGTGACTCAATAGCTACACTCAGCAGCAGCCTGAGGAATATGATACAGATGAAAGACTGCAGAGTGCAGGGAAGTATGGGCCACCAATGCAGGCAGATGGGTTGAGCCCTGGATCTGTTAACTGAACTGATAGTTTGATTGTAACTCTTCTCCCAGTTAGGAAGTGTTGTTAGGAAGAAGTGAGAGTGAAGAAGTCATCCTGCTAGACAGAGATGTGAAAATTCAGGCTGATTTGAAAGTCATGACCTAAGTCCTGATAATGGTTAAGCCATGTCCCAGATGAATCATCTCGGAATTAAAATACTGAATGCTAAAGAGAGCCTGTAGGCAAATTATTTGGACAACTGTCCCCAGAATAGAGACTGTGTTTCTATGCTGGCTGAACTCAGAACAAACAGCAGGGTAGGAACAAATTGCATAGTGGAGTTAATGTCATCTTCTCCTTCTACAGGAAGAATAATGAAAGTCACTCTGTTGTGGAAGCTGGAACAATGACTAAAAGCAGGGTAGATATCCAGTCTTCAGGGATTTAGCAGTTAGACTTCTGGAGTAATTTCCAGAAGCTTGCATATAACTTTCCTTCTGCTTTGTCAACTCCAAAACTGTTACTTCCATTCTTTTCTACTTAAACCCCTTAAATATCATTACTGTGACTGAATCAGTTTCTTAAGAAGGGTGGTATTCCCCAGCATTCCTTGAACAAGACCACATGCTAACCACTCTTGTGACTCTTCCCACTCTGCAGGTAAATGTCAGGGCTTGAGATTTCAGAAGGACTGAGCACGAGTTACAAGAAATGAGTGGGAGAAAACATCTCAGGCCAGGGAAAATGACAGGGCAGATGTAGGACTGCATGATGTGTGAGCCTAATTCCTCCCACACTGCTAGTTCTCGAGTTTTGATTTTCACTTCAAAGACAAAGCAGACCAAAGCTTTGTTAAAAAACATAAAATATGGCCTTGTTATAAGCAACTCTCCTGAGCACAAGGATAGGAAGAGAAAGTAGCTAGGAAATAAAAATGGTGGATTTTGTTACCTTTCATTCTTATGTAGGGGCACATTGGTGACAACTGCAACCCAACTGATGTCTTCTAGAGCTGCCTGTAGCTGAGAAGCCATGAGAAATCATAAAATGCCATTGTCATGCCAAAGAGCTGCACAATTGAAAGTGACTTGGGGCACAAGATACTCGGTCCCTGACATGGAGTTTCAGCTTCTAGCCTTTTTTTACCTCTATCCTGGATCCCTGGGTGGAGATGCAGAAACCAGAGGGAAATACGTTAGACAGGAAGATCAGAGGAACTGCCTCCATGTTTTTCATATCCCATAGCCTGCACTGTACCTTGCTACCCATACTGTAATTTTATTTCCCCTTGTGATGTGCTGTGCTATCAGTGTTACTGCTGACCACAAGAAGAGAAGAGACTACTACTAAACCCCCTAGTGACTAGTATCAGCCAGCATCCTAGATTTCCCTACTTAGGATGCATCAAGATCTGATAGCCAGGCACACCAGCCAATAATCTGGTCTTGCCCATATACAGGTCTGCCTGTTGCTGTGGTACATTTGTTTTCTTTCCCATGGGCTGACAGGCAGCTGGGCATGTTTATAAGCCCTGTGCCTTGGCTCAGCTTTGTGCAAGAGAGGGAGGAAAGGGGATTTGGCCTGGCCCAGTGTGGTGACAGAAGGCAGTCACGGCTGTCACACAGACTAATTGCACTTCAAATCCTCTTTGCTGTTTACAAGCTTCCCCCCACCAAGGACTCATGTTTCTGGCTAGCACCTGTGGCTCAGGGTAGACTCACACAAGGCTGCAGCTTCTGTGGTAGCCACTTTTTGTGTGCTAACTCAGAGTACAACTTCCACCTGTATTTTGCTGACATATTTCGTAGGGGTTAGCATGAAAAATGATTCATGACTGAATTTATTTAAGTGAGGTGCTCAGGACAAAATTGACCTTGAGTGGTAAAACACTAGTTTTTTAAAGTGTGTATCTGACATCTAGATATACAGAGCTGGCTTCAAGCAAAGCAGTCATGTTGCCATGATTAGAGGTGGTGCAGATGTCTTGAAACTGATGCTTGAGCAGTCCTGTGTCCATGACCCCAGTGTTGCCCAGTGTCTGGTATGGATGCTAGCTTTGGAACAGGCTGCAGGGAGCTGCAGAAACTGCAGGCCCATGGCCTCTCAGTCCTGCCTGAGAAGCTAGCCTGAGAAATTCAAAGGAGGATTTCAAAACAATCCTCAGGTGCTGTTTATCTGTCCTCTTGTTTTCCCTTGCAGGAGAGGGTCAGGGGGGTAGTGTGCCCCTGACCAATGATGGTAATGTAGCACTTTGTTAACCAATAAGAGTTTCCTTTCTGTACTTTTCCACGTATCTGTCTATAAGACAAGCCTAGAGCAATAAACTAAGGAATTCTCGTGTTGAAACTCCCTTGAGAGTTCATGTCGTTCTTTAAAGCCGTTCCCAATCGGAACGACAGTCTGGCACAGCTGGTTGTCTTCCCTTCCGCTGGCAGATTAGCCGATGGAAGCAGAGCAAGGACAGAAATGTCCAGGCATTGGTTCACATCTGCTGATTCTACTCTTTCAA